GACTGCTCGTATTTTTATCTGAGGCCCAGGCTTCGGTCTATTTTCGAGTCGTCTTGTTCCCGGCATGGACAATTATCTTGACCACTGCGCAGTCGAACTTATCGCCCGTTTTGTAGACGTGGGCGGCCAATTGTGATAATTTGTCACACCCTCGCACAGCCAACTTATTTTCATATATATACGCCCAACCCGAACATACTCCCACACTGACCTGTGTAGTAACAAGACAGTTGAGACAGAGGCTGTGATGCACTACCCTATATCGGCCTTTGGGATTCAGCCGGTCTTTTATTTTCATTTTCCTGCGGCGCATGGTAGCTTTGGGTCCGTGTGCAATTCCAACACCCAGTCTTACATCAATGCGTTCGGTGGCTTCTGTCGCGTTCTTAATGGTAGGTAGAAGGGGCTATGTTATTGTTAGTGTGTTTTTGGATCCCTAGGACCGAATGCATAGGCTTTGGTCCATGGAAGCATTCGGATAGCCATTCCGCACAGCATGGTCACGGAGATAGCGTACTAAACGTATATTGTCCTCTTATTTGCTGGAATTAATTTCAATCAAATTGAAGGGCGTTTGCAAACATCTTCGAAGATGGAAATTAGAAGTTGTGTGGAGTTCGTTTTCTATTCGTGAACTGTTGTTTGAAGTTCATCATTGCGATTTCGATTGACGAGTACGTTAAAGAAAGGCAACTGGTGTTCTTGTTCTTCGTATCTTATGCATTGGATATCAGGTAACATTCCTTTAAACAAGTTGTGGGAGGTTTGCAGTATGTTTTTTTTGCCGAAAATGAGAGTTTCTTCTGCGAAACTGATACAAATGCTATTTCTGGATGAAAATAATCTCTTCTATCGCTTCCAGGTGTGATTCAGCTTACAGCTCCCTTGTTCTGCTAATAGATTTTCCATTCGTTAATTGGATAAAATTCGGACAGACTCCCGGAATCTTTATTTTTCAGAGTCTCGCCGTATAACTCTCTAAATATCCTGTGCAAGAGGTTGTGCGCCAAATTAGGTTGCATAGATGTAACTAACAACGTCACATCGAAAGATATCCTGATTTTGTCCGTTAGAACTTCAGTTTTAAGAATGTAGTGCCTAAGCATACAAAATGTATAAAACACGTATTATAAGAGACCCAACAAAAACTTCCTAGTGTAGGGCTAACTCGCAGTAACTAAATTACCACACTACGCTAGTGGAAAAAGATGGAAAATTGTATAAAAGTGACAACGTAAAATAAACGATACAGGCTGCAGGCCTAGTTCAGACGAAGGAAATATCATGTTCCGTATAATATTACTTGCTTCGTTTGAGTAACATTTAATTATGAAATTGTTCTTTCCGATAAATTCATCACTGTTCCTGCAGCTAGCTTATGTCGACCATTAACGGATAGTTGCGATCGTGGCGGCTTCGCCTGTTT